AGATAATTCACTGTTTGTGCACAAAGAGATGATTTTAGATTAAAAATATTGTCCGTATATATATTTAATGACTAATGAAACTAACTTACATGAATATTTTTATTGGTTAATTTAGACTTATATATACAAAATTATAGATGCCACCATATTTTTCATGGAATATTACAAAATACATACATCTATTATATTTAAATATGTGAAGAACAAGATAATTTTGTAGAGAAAAAAACAGAGAGAAGTGTGATGGGAGAAAAAGGCTTCAGAACTTCATTAATGGCCACTCTGTTTGTTATACAGTACTAGAGGAAAAAACCAAAGCATTAGAAGCCGGCAATGCCATGCTTCACTCATATGACTACACAAATTTTTTCTAAGGAATTGTAGACACTTGTCTATTTACACAACAACCTTAGAGCCAATAAACAACTAATATAATAAAATGGTAAAATTAAACATAACTTAGTCAAAGAGTAAACATAATATGGACATGCCTTCTTCAGCCTCTGCTCAAGTTTCAAACTCAAGAGTTTTGGTGCAAACCTTGCAGACAAGTAACTCAACCTCAATTTTAACACACCTCCTTAAGGTTGTGTTTGGTGACTCCTAGCTTAGTCCTTAGAGTTATAAACTAATCCTTGTTTAACCCTTTAGTCAGAATAGCAACAAGTTGGTTCTTTGAAGTGCAATGATCAACAAAAATTTCTCCTTTTTTGATCGCATATTTGATGGCATGAAATTTTATTTTTATGTGCTTAATTAGTCCAACCATGATGAACGGGATTTTTAGCAATCGTAATGGTGGACTGATTATCAATCAGAAGCTTTGTACTTTTGTTTTGCTCAGAGCCAAGATCAAGAAGCAGTTTCTTTAACCAAATCTCATCATTTACAACTGAAGCTGCTACGATGTACTCAACTTTAGTAGAAGACAAAGCTACCTGTTTTTTGCAATTCCAGGTGAAAACTAGAACTTCCATCATTTTTGCACAGTTTGTTGCCAGAAACCATAGGTGTGTCAATAGCTTTACAATTCTCCATTTTAAACCTCTTAAGTAATTCTTTTGCATACTTTGTTTGATGAATAAATATGCCATCTGATTTTTGTACAAATTCAATGCCTAGGAAGAATGACATTTCACTGAGATCAGTCATCTCAAATTCCTCCATCATCTTGAGTTTAAAACTCATCAGAATTGAGCCACTTGATCTTGTAACCGGCATATCATCTACATACAATGACATTATCAGGTTCACAAATTCATTTCCCTTCATCACATATAAAGTCGGATCATTAACACTTCGAGTGAAGCCTTTGTTGCATAACTAGCTGTCGATCCTTTCATACCAAGCCATTGGGGTTTGTTTAAGGCCATACAAAGCCCTAACAAGTTTGTAGACTTTTATCTTCACTGCCTTTGACAACAAATCGCTCAGGCTGTTTTATTAAAATATCTTCTGACATATAACCATTCAGGAGGGCAAATTTTACATTTATATGCCATATTTTCTAACTCTCCTTAGCTGCAATAGCTGTTAAAAGCTTTATGGTATCATGCTTAGTTACCAAGGCAAATGTTTCTAGGTAATTAACTCCATAAATTTGAGAATACTCTTTGATAACCAGGCGAGCTTTCAACTTGTTTACCAGCCATCTGTATTCAACTTTTTCTTAAAAATCCACATAACCCCAGTTACCTTCTAGACACTTGGCCACTCTACAAGAACCCATGTCTTGCTCTTATGGATCATCTCCTATGGATCATCTCCACTTCATTTTTCATAGCCTGAAGCCAATTCTTATCTACTATAGCGTCAGTAACAGAGCTTGGTTCCATGATCATTGAGTTGCATCTTTCATAAATATCTTACAATGATCTAGTGCCTCTCACAGCCAAATTTTCATCTTCAAGAACTTCTTCTTCATCGCTATAAATCTATGGTAAAGGATAGGCATTGATATTAAGATTTTTAGAGCTTTCAATCAAACTTTTCTCTCAATTTTATTGACTTCATCAAACTTGACATCTCGATTGATAAAGATCTTGTTTGTATCTACATGATAGAGTTTATAGCCTTTGAAAATTTCATTAAACCTTATATAGATGGCTATTTAAGACTTTGAATCAAATTTTCTTCTTTTTTTCATCATGTATTTTTGCATAACCAATGCATTTAAATACCTTCAAATGAGCTCCTGAGCATTTGACTTATTAATTGGTGCATAATCTTCCTGATTAAAGAGTAAGGTTTGAATCCCCCTACTCCAATTATATATATATAAAAAAAAACTTCAAATGAGTAATAGAAGGTTTTCTGTCATACCAAGCTTTAAATGCCCTCTTGGACTCTAAAGCTTTAGTTGGCAAATAGTTCAACAAGTTCACTGTAGTATTCATTGCCTCTGCCCAAAGTCTTGTTGGTAAACCCTTGCCAATCAACAAACATCGTGCCATCTTAACAAGGGTCCTGCTCATTCTTTCATTGACCCTATTTTGTTGGGGGCTATATGGCATAGTTAGTTGATGTTTCATGCCTTTGCAAGCCAAGAAATCTTTGAACTCTGAGGAACAATATTGAAGGCCATTATCATATCGTAATATCTTCATAGAGAAACCTAACTCATTTTTTGTCAAAGCCTCGAATTTGATGAATCCGCTATAAACTTCAGATTTCTGTTTCCTGAAGTAAACCCAACAACGTCTGGTGTCATCAATAAAAATAAGCTGCCATTAAAAGAAGGAATACTTGTCAGTCCTCTCACATCTGAATGAACTAACTGAAGTTTCGTTTTTGCTCTTCAGTTACTACTCTTAGGAAAGCAATTTCTGCTTTGTTTTCCAAACTGACATACATTGCATACATTACCAGTTGATATATTTAAAAAAAATTCATATTTTTAGTCGTCAGTAGTCCTTCTACCATGTTAGATGAAGACATCACTTTTAGAGAGCCATAGTTGACATGCCCAAGACGTTTATGCTAGAGAGAAACATCATTAGTCAAACATTGATAGGCAATAAATTCTTTCTTCATGAAATCAACTGGGAAACACTTATTCTTCATTGCCACAATAAGTAGTTCATTACTAACAGAATAAAAAATTGTGCATGACTTCTCTTTGAAGCACAAGGAAAAATTATTTCTAATAATTGTCCCATGCTAAGTCGATTTGGGCTAACCTTAGGAAAAGAATAAAACATTTGAGATAGCTTTCATACCTGAAGGAGTTTGGACACTCACATTGCCCTTTCCCATGATTTTTATGTGATCTCCATTGCTAATTTCTGCCTGAGAAT